CCTCACCACATGAAGGTGTGCATTCAAGAAATGGGGTTGATACACGGATATAGATCAGGTTCACACGATCAGCACACTCCACTGCAGTTAAATAGCTATAGCACCCATTGGTGCCTGATGCTTTTCTGGTTTCTTGTTACATGTGAACCTAAGAAGAATGGTTTGTTTTGTGTTTAACAAGCCATCTAGAACCAATTGGCTGTTTTAGGCATGTGTATGGCTTGTCAACCAAAATTGCTATTATGGGTTCATGCATAATAGCAGTTTGAAGGGGGGCAAATGTAGGGAATTGTCAGGATGACTGCCTACATTTCACCATTCTTTGTATTCTTCCAGTTTTTTTCCAGCTTTTTCCTTACCACAGAAAATTCCTTGTGGGAATGGGTAGATTATGGAATATCTTCACAGTGCTTCCTGAGTGGTGCAGTGAGGAGGCTTCCCTCTGGTAGCACCCCCTTTCTGTCTCTTTCAGTAAAATTGCTCGAATCTTCCTAACATTTAATAAAGATGAAGATGTGGGCTGGGGTGGAAATACTGGCCCTATGTAGGAGGCACTTGTTCAGATTTTTTAAAATAATAATTCTGTTACAGATAATAAAATGCAAATATACCTTGATAAATTGGATAAGTACAGTAATATAGTACAAAACTGGTAATATTCCAATATAAACAGATAGCAAACTGTCCAGTGTTTCTGCATAATGCTTTAAAACAAGAAACAACTAAGTCCTATCCCTAATTGCTAACAATATGTAAATTTCATCCTGTTTTAAGGAGCACCTCTGTAATAAACTAAGCATTTTACATCTTTTCTATTAATTCAAACAAATTAACATACTTTTAAAGTTCCCTGATTTCCTAAGATACAGTGCTCTGCAATGCTCCACCTTTACAAAGAATCTACATTGGAAAACAATGTTGAAAACATTGGAGCAGTTCTAAAGCATACCAAAACAAAGGCAACTCTGTTGGCCTTGAAATATATGGAAAAAAAATCCAAAATCCAACTGAAAGATTAAGCCACCCAATCACCAAAAAAGGTACCAGCTTTCAAGAGCTTGAATTCTAAAGCAAGAGCTGTTGGTGTGAATCATGTCCCAGCAAGTAATGGCATATCTTTGGCTTCCATAATTTCTACGTGTGTATTATCTTTCCCCTTCATATTAAGTGCACAAGTGGAAGGTGGACCAATATGTTTCAGTGTATCATCATTTCCAAATAGCAGGGTTTTTAATCAGGGTTCCAGCCAGTGAACCATCCCTACTGCTAGGTCTTCATAAGTTATAAGGAGGTGAAACAGGCCAGAGGGAGGGAGTGATTCTCCATGTTTTCTTCAGTATTTTGTGGTTAGTCAGCATGGTCTGTACTCATGTTTTCGGTTGAGTGTTGTCTCCTTGTTGATTTTTCAGATTTGTAGTTCTGCAAATCATTCTTTTGTTTTTTCAGCAGCTTCATTTTGGTTTTGACTCCAGTCTTATTGACACTCACCACTGGTGCTCTTTATTATAAGCAGTGATAAGAATTGGCTTGCTGGATGAATTTAAGTTCTCTCAAGGAACATGACTACCTGAGAGCAAGAAAATGACTAACACTGAACATAAGGCAGGATCATCTTCCCTAGAGAAAGAACTAGAAAGGCTGGGGCTGTTATACTTCAGGGAAAAAGGGACAGAAGAGCAGGCAAATAATAACACTTTAAGAAGCAATCCTTAAGGAGCAATCCTGTGGCTCCTAGATGGTCTTTGTGGGACCATAGATTAGGTTGAATTCCAGCCCCATGGTCAAGCACTCCAGTCTTGGAGGGGGAATTGGAAATCCTTCTTCCTCTTAACCCACTTACAGCTAGTGCGGAAAGAATTGTCCTGCTGGCCTCCAAAGTCATGAACTACAGGAAGGAGGAAAAAGAGGTGCTCCAGTGCACAGGGAGGGAGGTGACTGGAGAAACATCTGCCAGCCTTCTTCTTTCCCCCTCCAAAACATGGGCAAAACCAGCTATGTAGCAGGAAATGCTGGACTGAAGGATGTGGGTGGGGTAAAACTTGTCCCTGCAGCAATTCCCACCCTGCATGGGAAGACTTGAAGCCTCCCAGGTCAGGGGCTTGATCATCAAGGGCACAGCCCATGGGATTGCACACTTACAGTGTTAGGACCAGTCAGCCGTGTAAAGAAAGGGAAAACGGGGAGATTCTTCTGTTTCACAGCTCTGGAACTCACTAAATGAAATCTACTGGCAGCAGCTTCAGTGTTGTGCTGCCTCAGATTCACAAACAATCCAGACACTCCTTTGGGTCAGCAATATTTATTTTAGGAGTGGCAAGGGAGCGGCACTCCTCAAAGTTACATTCTAAGAGTTACATCCCAGAATCTCTTTGATCACTTGGGTCAGCAAGGCATCTTTCTCCAGCCCTGAATTCAGGGTGGATGAAAGGAAGCATCGGACTTTACTGGCCAAAAGCTCAAGGACAAAATGCTACACATGTTTAAACACAATAAAGTCCCACAACTCCCAGCACTGCCCAGCCAGCACAGTTGTGGGTCTGTTTTCTGTCTAAATATGGATGGGATTACACTCTAAATGGCTTGTTCAGAGTTGGAAATGGAAAATCCATGCTCACATGACACAGAAAGTCCCCTGACCTCTGGGCTTGAAAGATACCCAAACAGCCCATGGCTTGTGGTAGGTTTTGGTAGCCATCCCAGAGGTTGTTGTGTCATCCAAAAGTAAATACCTCAGCAACCTCTGGGTTAACTGACCTTGCCAAAAAGGCTGCTTGGGTGAGCACCATTGACAGTCACCCCAGTGTGTCCAAGCAGCACTTGGGGGCAGTTGTCAGCAGCAATTGTGCCAAGCTCCCGCTGATTCCAGCAGACATGCTCATCAGCAAACTCACTGGGTCAGCATGGGCTGCCTCAAACTCCTCCTGCTGCTGGCAGAGCCTACTGCATTGGCAACATTGGCACAAGCTCATGGCCAACATAGCAGGCTTCCTTGCAAGCAAGGCTGCCATATCAGCAGTGGCAACAGCCAGCTGCATCCCATCCACCCATGCCTGCCATTCAGTGGGGGCAGCAGTGAATAAGAGAGAGCTCCAGCCAGCTATGAAGAAAGTGAGCTATGCACATAGCTGGCTGGGGCTAACTTCTGTTTCCTGCTGCCCAAGCAGGCAGTTTTGAGCCAGTGGCACCAATGTCTCCTAGTGGCTAATCCAATTACACGAATTTTCCCAAACAGAGAAAGGCATGCAATGCAGCAATATTTTATAGTGGCTATATTCTATTTTGTCTGGAAGTCATTGCTTGTGGATATGTTCCTGCAAGGAAAATAGATGTACATGTGCTTTTAAATTATGTTCATGTGATGTGAGGCTGTCCAGAAAAAGTAGATATTGAAAGCCCCTGCAGTTGCAAAGAGACTTCTATTCCAGACTTGGAAGGAAGTTCATCCAGCACCTATCCCTGAATGGACTGAAGATCTCACTGTTCTTGCCACATTTGAATGCCTCTCCTACAACCATCAAAGTCACATGGATGCCTATTTAGCTATATGGACTTGTGCATATGTGCCCTCACATAGGCACATGTGCAGAAAAAGTTCAATCCTCTTTTTCCCTTTTTTGAGTGGAAGAAGTTTTCTCTTTTTTCTTCTCCTTTCCATTTCAAGAGTAACGTTCATGATTACTATGCATTACAATGTTTTATGATCCCCTTTTGCTTTTGTTGTTGCCACTGTTATTGTTGTGTTGCAAATAAAAAAGATCTTTAAAGAAACAGCATTCACTATTTCAGTTACCACTTTTTAACAGACTTCTGTTTTGTTTTGATTTGTAGTGTTTTTTATGTTCCAGAGATATCCTGGAATTTCATGCATCCCCCACCCCCTCCTGCCGCCACCACACAATCTCCAGCCCTGGTCAGTCATATTGTATTTCTCCTTCTTTCTTCAAAGAATCAGAAAGGAGATAAACTCTGGATAATCTCCCTGACTTCTATGAAGCACAGGTTTGGCTTCACTGAGGGAGCTGCTTTCCTGGGCAAACCCCACCTTCTGATTGCCATTGTGTCCAAAGCAAATAAATGAACAACAACACACCAAGGCAGGCAGGGTGCTACCATTATCAGGAGCAAATGAAAAGCCACAAAGATTTGATCCAGCTGGAAAGTAAGGACAGGTGTGGGCAGGACCAAGATAAGGAATTCCAGGCAATTCTGGGAAGGTGTGAAGCACAGAAAAGATCTGGGGCTCAAGACTGCTGGATAAAAAATACATACAAGTACACCTCTCCATAGGCTAATGCACATATGCTGAAAAGTCTCTCCGTGTGTGTGTATAACGATCTGCCTCCTAAGGGCACCCCTATGTGAAAAGGACTGCATGGACAAGGGAAAAGAGGATTTCAGGCAGAAAGGTACAGGGCTGCGGGGAACAGGAGGTGAAGTACATGAGCACACAAACCCATCTGATCCAGAGGGCTCAGTTGCCACGGAGATCACCAACCTGAACAGCAGGGTGGAGGGGCAGATGGCGTCCCAGCGATTCGGGCCTCAACTGGGCAATTCTGCGCGCAAGCCTTAGGGCCGCTTCAGTTTCCAGGGCAAGATGTAAAACGAAAAAGCACCCCGTTCCTTTGTGATCGTTTGTGAGGAGAGAGGAGGCAGGAGAAACGTTACGCCGAACTTGGGAGATCAAGCCGCGCTGACTGCGGACGGCTCTCAGGTTGCACCCGAGGCTCCAAAGGCGGAGAGCCGGGCAGGCCTCTCCTGCTAGGAAAAGATCAAAGCCAGGCGCAAATCTCCGGAAAGGCTGCCTTCAGGTGAAAGGGCGGCGATACCCCACCCCTGCCTCCGCAGAAGCTCGCTGGGCGAGTAGGCGGTGTTCTCCGCACCCACCTGGTGACCCTCCCAAGGCGGGCTACTCCGCCCCCGAGAGTCTCCTGCCTCTTTCCCCCACGTTTTAAGTCTCGGCCCGCCCATTCTATATTCGCCACCCGGAACAGCAACAGCCATCAGGAATCCCGCAGCGGCGACCAGAGTCCACTTCGGGAGGACACACCGGGCTGGGCTTGCGGGGCTGGCCTTGGTCACCGACATCGGGCTGCGCGCAGAGCGAACGCCAGGGAGAGGGGCAGAAGCGAGGCTCGGGCCATGGCTTGGCCCCTCGGCGCCGCGGGACCAGGCGTCGCGCTGCTCTTGGTGAGTCCGCGGCCGCTGTGCGCCCCGGCGCCCGGGACCAGACGCGCCGCCCGCCGTCGATGGGGGCCGTTCGGGCTCTTCGGGAGGCTGCTTGGTTCGGAGCGGATCAGCCCGGGACGAGTGCGAAGGGAAGAGCTGTGCGAGAGCCAAACTTTCCGCTTCGGGTTGCTACTTTGATTCTGCTCGTTTTGTAGTTGGGTGCGGGGTACGTGGCGCGTGCCCGCCTGGGAAGAAGATCGCACCTCAGGCGAAGGAGAGCGAGGCTGAAAGGAGTTGCGCCGGCGCCCGAGCGCCACGCCCTGTGCCCGAGCGCACTAGCCCCGGCGGGGAGGGCTCGGCAGCCTCGCCAGCGGCTGGGTTCCTAAAAACGCACCTAGGGGAGGGTCAGAAATCTGCATTGGAGGGACACAGATCTACATTGCGCCCCCGCCCCCCCCAAAAAAGCTCAGCTCTTGTCTTTCGTGGAAGTAGAAGCATTGGAAGATCTGGAGGCTTTCGCTATTTTAGAAAGTAATGTGCTACAGACAATCCAAGGCTCATAGCCAGACAAAAACCATGGGTTTTGTTCATGATTCACAGCTGGGTTCTCACATCATGACAACCCAGCTGCAGGGTCAATTTTGGTGAACAACCTGTCTATAGTCACTTGTTTTTTCCTGCGCTGCATAACCCTCCAGAAATGAGAGACCACATTATCGTTCATCAGATTCAACACTCTGTTCGTTACAGTTATGTTGGGGTGGTGCTTCTCAAAGAAATCCTGGCACAGGCACGCTCCTGTGGGAAAGACGGGCACAATCTCAGCCATATCCTGTCCCCACAAGCAGCACAATCACAGCCATTCCTCCTGCAGGAAAGACGGGCACAGCACCACTGTGATCACGCACGTCTTCCCTACACGAATGCTACTGCGATCGGGGCCATCTCCCCACTCAGGGGGGTAGGCCACAATCATGCTGGTTGTGGAGGGGTGGAGATGGCCATGATTGCACCCATCTTTCCTGCAGAAGCGTGCCTGTGATCACACACATCTGGGGGTGGGGGAGATGGCTGCGACCTTGGTCGCCACCCAATGCAGAGTTCACAACCCAAGTCAAAATTTTCATGAAATTTTTGTTCGCGACCTGATTTGGTTATGAACCAAGGCATTTGTGAGCCAAGGTACCACTGCATGTGGGACCACAATCCAGCTGTCACTACAGTCCAACACATCTGGGGTATACTAGGTCAAAGACGGTTGATAGATGGTGTGGCCCATGTGGAATCCTGCATATAATTCTGGTCACCCCACCTCAGAAAGGATATTTGTAGCACTTGAAATGGCACATAAAAGGGCAGTGAAAAGTCTCAGGGGATTATGGATCCTTTGGAAAGTGGCTATTCTGGTAGGTGCTCTTCCACTTGGATTAGTGGAACTTGAATCCAAATTGAAATTGGTTGCCATTAGATTGTTTGGCTATAGATAAAAAGTATTTCATTGTGCAAACACACTGTTAATTTCAACTGTTGGTTGCCAAAGGTACGGTGTGTTGCACACTTCCTTGAGTACCTTTAAAAGTAGTTCAGGTTATCCTCTCCAGAGCTATTGTCCATGAGTGTTGTATGCTATGTTCAGACTCAGAGACTCTGGCCCACTGAAAACTAGCTTCTGGGCATCAACAGCAAGGGGAGAGGGACAGTTTTCTTCATGCCTTGTTGGTGGATTTCCTGAAGGTATGCAACAGGATGACTCCAAACTGTTGTTCAATGAATGCACACCTTCCTCACTTACTATGAATAACAAGTATCATCCTCTGTGATCCTTTCAGGGATGGGAAGAGTAGCTCTCCTTTGGAATATCTAGCCCCTTTCATTTCCTTAAAAGTTTTCATCTGTAGAGTGACCAGGCACAGAGGCAGTGAACATCAAGACATGCATATGAGAACAATAAAGATATCCAGATATCCAGATAGTGACACAATAAAGGACCCTTGGAGGGAAATCTTGAGGTGTTTCAGTACTTTGTTGTTTGTTGGAGATTAGGGAAACAGAAGTGGTTCTAATAACAACAGGAATCTAGGTTTATCTTGGCTGTTCTAGGGCATTTTATTTTATTATTTTATTTTATTTATTTAAAACTTTTCTAGACCATCCCATTACCGAAGTCTTGGGATGGTTTGACAATTTCCAGGATGTCATTTTCCTACACTTAAGGAGTGTTTTCCTTGATCCTCCAAAACATGGTTTTCAGCAGCTTTCCCCAACTTGGTGCCCTCCAGATGTGTCATATGGCAACTGGCCAAGATTACTGGGTGTTGCAGTTAACAACCCTGGAGGACACCAGGCTGGGGGAGACCAGTTCTGGAGGGTTCAGAATATGCCCTCCCGCCCCTTGAGATCGGCAACAGATGCCCTTCTCCGGGAACCCTCCGTGAATGATATTAGGAGGGTGAGTACCCAGAGGAGGGCCTTCTCTGCGGTGGCACCCCACCTATGGAATGCGCTCCCCAGAGAGGTCCACCTGGCACCATCATTATTTGTTTTTCAGTGCCAGGCGAAGACCTTTTTATTTAAAACTTATTTTAATTGTTAACTTATTATGTATTTATAGGTTTTTAAATTTTTAAGCCGAGATGTTACCGGGTTTTTTAATTTTTAATTGTATTAATTTGTTATGTATACGTTTTAATTATGTTGTGCGCCACCCGAGGCTTTGTTGAGATGGGGGCAGCATAGAAATGTTTTAAATAAATAAATAAATAAATAAATACATAGAATGTCTTAGGCTCACCCACTCCCTTTCACCTTTTCTTCCTTTATAACGCATGCCACAGTTTGCCCTTACACCTGAACCAGCAGATTACCATTTGCTTTGCCATTCAAACTATTGTTTGAGAACTGGTGTCAGGGGAGGGAAGTTCCCTTTGTGGTACTTCATTATTGGAAGAACTTTGGAATGAGAAGGCAAGAATATGAATTTTATGAATACTTTCCATTTTTGTTCCTTTCCCCCATATTATTTTGCTTTGGTTTGTCAATCTGCACCATCAATAGCTGAAGAATGGATATCCTTTTTGTTTCTTAGATGGTATAAAAAGTCTTTTGCATATTTGGTGTGCTCAGCTTACATATATACAGACTTCTTTGCAACTATACCCACTTATTCCCAAGAAAGTATGAATAGGATTGTGTCCTTAGGCTGTTTCCTCCAATTAAAAGAGCAAGAGTAATTACCTACTGTTCCACAGGAATGTCCATAGAATCCATTTCCATTACCTAACCAAGATTGCTGGGAAAAGTCTCAGAATGTCTTGGCAATAACTAAACTGGGTTAAATACTACTATCATTGTGGAAGCCATAGTAAGGGAACCTGCCATTGAAAGGGAATTTTTCAGACAGTTATTAATTATTGGTTTGTTCATTCATTCCATTTATAAGGTAAAGCTCTCAATAAATACAAATGCAATAAAAATTAATCTGGTTACAGAGTTGTTTAGGTTTTTATAACCTGTTCATTAGCCCAGGGCTCTCAGAATGGCTAAACAGTAAAACCCAAGAAAATAGTATAACAACAACAATCAATTTAAAATAATAATATCAACATCAACAGTCAATTAAAAAGTAAGTTAAATGAATATTCCCACAGTGAATCTGCTAGAATATTCCTTCATTTAAAATTGTATTTGTGGTATTAAAAGAGCTCCATGGACTTTGCATACCTACCAGGCTGTTTTTATTTTGCTTGCCTATTTGGCAACATTCTGAAAAAAAACATTCTCAGACTTTTGGTCACCTCTCTGTATTAAATGTCATAATTTGATCAATGTGATGCCCAAACCTGGAATGTAAGCTTATCTCATCCCTGAAATGCCAGAGTTGGTTCCCAGCGTAACAAGCCCCACAGAAATGAAATGGGTGGATGCTCGCTGTCACTCAGATGATCCAACTGTTTTTACAATTTTCTTGGGCAATAATAACCAATTATTTACTCAAATAAAGGAAACTCCTAAGGAGGGAAATTTGTTAAGTTACGGAATGCACTCAGAGATTTTCAGTTTCCTCCAAATCTTTACATGAGGGCTTGCAACATACAAAATGTGTTTGATTGTCATCATCTGCTGAATTGAGGAAGTGTAAAAGGAAATGACTTTGCCTTGCATCCTGAGTAATAAAGCATTTCTCTGTCGTTTTATTAGTGTAATGCTCTCAAAATGGTTTAATCCTGCCAAGCCTTTTCTGTAAAGCAATGCTTAATATAACCAAAACTATATCTGCATACTTACCTGGAAATGTCATTCTTGACATGAAAACAACAAACTGCTGCTTTGAGAATAGCTAATCTCTCCTTTCTAAATGTAGGTTTCAAGCAAGGCACCCGTCCTGTTCAGAAATTAGCCCTGCCCACTCTGACCCAAGGGTCATGAGAGCCAGCAGAAGCCTCTGTGCAATCAGGACCTCTGATCAGGACGGGTCTCTGACAGAGGAGATGCTTCTGTTCATGCTCAGCCAAGGTATATATAAGTATTGGGGGTAGTCACAGCACACATGCCCCTCTATTCCTCCATCTGCTGCTCTTGCTTGGTCAGATATAGTGATCAAATGGGGTTGGGTTTTGTGCTGCTGGTCATGGTTTTAATGAAATCAGTATTATGCCCACTGATTACATATAGCCTCTGGTTGGGTCACAACAATCAGATAAAAGCAGATACAATTTAAAGCAGAAACATCAACGAATTACCCACAGACTTATTGAGGAGAAACCCTTCAGTTGGCACTGAAATGAGTGTAGCTTAGTAATCAACCATAGCTAGGAGGGGAGATAATTTCACAATCTGGGTATCACTACTAGGAAAGTGAGTTATCAGATTTTCAAACCTTTACCAGTGATGTCATTCTCAGAAGGACCTCCCCAACCGACTACCTACCTGGTCAGAATCTGATACGAGGAATGCCTTTCCTCCTGATATGAGGAAAGGCATTCCTTTAGGATTTGGCATGCTTCCCAAACCCATATCAGCTA